TTGAAGAAAAATATTATTTGTTAGAAGAATTTGTAGTATATAAATTAGTAGAGATTTATTATTAAATTTTTATTTTTTGTTCGCATGTCAAAATAAAAATATTTGAAATTATCAATTCTAAAACATATTAATAAATTTGTAAATGGTTAGCAAACTATAATTGATGGACCAGAAGAAAAAACGGTAATATAGAAAACACGTATAAGTCTAATGCATTCGGCACCTATTACATACATAATTTTTTATAGGATAGAACGCATAAGAAAGTCGCATTTAAAATCGCGTTTCAACGAATTTACATATGAAGCAAAAACTTTAAAAATTCATTGTAGGATTTAATCATAATTCATTGAAACAAAGTCAAAGAATTTTTCATCGGATTAATTTATTATATGTATTAGATAATATATATTGGTCTGAATCAAAACAAAACATTGTCAAACCAAAAATCAGGTGATTCGATTCATATTTTGCATTCGATTCAAATCGTTTCAAATTATACGGCGATTTTGGTTGATTATGAAATTACATCCCTGTTCTTGAATTTTACACACTAGCTGACAGTAATAATATATGAGTTAATTTTGTTTAATAAGATTTACTGGATTTAACTGTTTCATAAATTTCTAAGGGAAATCCTATATACAAATTGCTTCTTAACCAATCTAGGTACATTTTCAACTTTATCTTAGCATCTTCGCCCTGAGGATTTATTCTAACCTTGCGTCTTTTATAAGCATAAATAAGAGTCTTTTTGTGCTGATTATATATTGGTTCAGGCATCAAAACACATGTTTGCTCCATTTACTAAACAAATGTGTAATCTTATTCGGAAAATGTCTAGTACATTTTGTTTTATTACATGAAAAGAGCGCTGAAAATGCATGGAAAATACTAGTACTGAAAATGCTCTGACCATACTAGTAAAGAGAGTGAATCTTTCAGATATGACATTTTATATATTCAAAGAAATTATCGAGACGTTTAAACTAGCCAATCGGATTTTACACAACCTATAAAATAAATGATTATCAAAAAAAATTTCTTGAGAATAGTTCTGATCCGATGTTAAAGAATTCTTCAACTATCGGACATGAACATATTTTCTTTAGTCTCTTGAAGGATCATATTTTCTGAATTGTTTCGAAAGTTTATTTCAGTGAAATTGTCATCGTCTACTCTCCTGCCACGTACAAACATTTTTGCCGCTTACACACAATATACAAGACAAAAGAGAAGACATTAAAAGAAGAGATGTTTATTAAATTAATTTTCAAACAAAAATAATCCAATGGCAAGAGGGCTTCTTATCTACTTTTTTTTCAAACGAAATGATTAATGATGAGAAGGGCTCTTAAATTCATTTTTAAACAAAATAATTATTAACAATATGATTCACAATTAATTATAATGTAATACGCTTGACCGACCAAGGTTTTTCTACCGGCCGACATTACTGGCTTAGTGCCAATAAAAAAAAGAGATTTAACGAAAATAATCGTCTAATTATTTATAAAAAAAAAAGAATGTCTAATATTTATTATCAAAAAAGAGTGTATGCATTATATCGTTTAATCGTCATCTAATGCTAATACCAATTAAATATTGAAAAAAGAATGATCTATTGTTTTAATTAAAAATCATCAAAAACGCTAAAAAAGATTATAGAAAACAATGATATTTAAATTTTTAATATACACATTAATTAACATTAATTACATTTCATCCATCCATCCGATCGATTGACACTCTTTAAAGCGTAAACATCGCTACCATAAAAAAAAACATGAACTGATTTTACCTTTCGTTGTTGAAATTGAAACCTTTTTGAAAACGTAAAGATTTCACTAAAAAATTGGTTTCATTAAAGATTTGAAGGAATCTGTCGCAAAAAAACAGGCAAAAAAAAATAATTTTAAACCAATCAAAATTGTCATTTAATTTCTATCTTTTTAAATAATATAAATACAACTTTTTGATTGGATAGCCTATTTAGCATAATATAATGAAATAAAAATTTTACAAATTAGGATGCCATACAATATATATATATATAAAATAATTTATTACGATTATTTTTTACAAATAATTATTCATCAAATGGATATTCAAAAGGCTCTGGTGGTGGTGCTTCTTCCTCCTCGGTAACCTCAGTAGCTTTAAAATAAAAAATATTAAATGATCAGCTAAATTATAATCAAAAACATCAATTAAAACTTTCGATTAGTAGGTTGTTTTCTTACCAGTAGGTGTGCTAGATAGAATGAATTCTTCTGGTTCACCTTGTGTTTTATCCAACATCATTATAATACCTCCAACAATTCCCTTTATATTTTATAAATTAATGAAATAAGATTAAATACAAAAAAAAAATCAACAAAAAACTGTTATTATTATTATAGTCTACCTTTTTAACAGGAACATAGCGAGTATCTTCTTTAAATGATATATACTTCAATTGAGCAGGTAAAACACGTGCCATATTTTCAAGAATTTCATACGATTCTTCCTTTTTCTTTTTGCCTTTTTTGTCATCTTTTTGTTCATCTTTTTGTTCATCTTTTTGCTCATCTTTTTGTTCATCCTTTTAAAATCAATAAAAAAAGAATAATAATATTATTAGATATTTAAAAATAACAATATAATAGAATTTAGTAATGGCAGTAGTATCAGTAGTTACCTTTTCTTCTTTTTTAACATTTTCAATGGTATCTTTTTTCTCATCCTAAAGTCGTTGAAAAAATATTATTATTAATACATGTAATTAATACATCTAAATAAATGATAATTAAATAATAAATTAGTAAATACTGTTTCCATGGCATCAAAATCCGAATGTTCCTTTTCTTTTTCAGATTTTTTAGCTCTTGCTCTAGCTTTTGCGGTTGTAGAAAGAACTGCAGTTGCAACCTTAATAATGATTTTTTTTAAATGGAAAATGGAAAGATTTGACAATTAGATTATTTGCTTGTTTGTTTGTTTTCCTGCTTGTTTTTTAGCTAATTAATGGTTTGTTGTTACCTTTTCTACAACATTGGTTGTTGGGGGTTTAATGGTGGCTGGATATGCAAATAGCGAAGGCTTGGCATTGGATATAAATTCAAATTTTGGAATCTAGTATTTTTTTTTTACAATCAAAAAAAAAAAATATTATTATATACTTAATCTATTTGTTATAATAGCAATGATAGATACATAGATGTTTGTATATAAAAATCATTTGTACCTTTAAATCTTTATTTAAACCAATAAGTGCAGTTGGAGTAAATGCAAGGCTCAAGAAATGAGTCAATGGGAACCAATACCAGAATTGAGTGAATACTGCCATTCCTACAATAGCTGGCATATTAGAATGTCCAGATCTTGATTGTAATGAAATTGTAACATTTCTACCACCTTTACCAAAAAAAAAAAATAATATATTTAAAAATATGACTTTAAATAATATTATTATCATCATTAATAATAGTTATTAAAAAATCACCAGCATCAATAATTCCTTGCCCAAGAACTGCGCCAAATTTAGCCATTGCATCTTCATGTTTATGATTTATAATTTTTTCATATAATTTTCTTGTTGTTGCCACCTATTTATGTTATTTATCATATTTTATTAATATCAATTAAAATCAATTAAATTTTTCATAAAATAGCAAAGACAATGATGATGATAATAAACAAATATTATAATTATCAATGATCAATTGATTGATTATTACCTTTGGATTGGTAGCTTCATTTTGTTGTATCAGAATCATAGCAAGGGAGATAAAAGCACCTTGTCTAACAAAATCAACAGGATCCTTAGTCATTGGTTCTAAAAGTTCAATAGCTTCCTAAAAAATATTATCACCAGCATTAGTAAAATCACAATCAAAAGCAATATGTTATTATGGTAATCACTATTAATATTTTTACCATGAGACCAGTTCCAGCACACGAAATACCCAAAGCCAAAGTAGCACCATAACGAACATTTGGATTATAACTTTCTGCCAATAATTGAACTATCCTAGGAACTTGAGTTGGTGTTCTGAACAAAATTAAACCCAAAGCTGTAACAGAAGCACGACGAACATCATCATTCACATCACTCACAGCAACATGTAATAGTTTTTTTATGGCCTTGTTGTTGCCTGTTCCACAATATGCTAGTGATACTGTGTAAATACCACCATATCTAAGAATAGGGTCCTATAAAAGAAAAGAAAATTATTAAAATTATTGATATTGCAATAATAATGTTATTATTAACATTACAACAACAACAACAACAACATTTTTATTGTACCTTATTACTAATAAGTTGTTCAATCAAAGAATCTGCAGCTTCTTCTTTTCCATACATAATTAAAGCAATGCCAATAGCCAAACCTCTCAAGATCTTCTCGTGTTGAGTATCATTAGCATATTGTAACATTTCATCAATTGCTTTCTCATTGGCAGTACCGAGCATCACTAAACCCATAGCTAAACCCGCAGCTTCACCTGCTACTGCACTATCACTAAACAATATTCCCTTAAGTTCCTCATATATTTCTAAAAAAAAAATTAATTATATATATATATGTCAAGATAAATGTGGTAAATGACGATGAAAATAATATGTGTTCATACCTTCATTTCCAGTTGCCATTCCAGCAGCCCCAAGACCAAGACATGCACCATGTTGAAGAACTTCAGTTTGTGTATTTTTCAAAGCATTTTTTAAATAATTTAATACTCCAGAACCATGATTTGCATGAATCAACCCTAAAGCAAATAATGAACCACCCTCTGAATATGAACTTCCACTAACGCCTTCTTGTGGCAAATATGGCTGAAGTAATGCTTGTCCTTGTGATAAATGCCCCTTTGTTTAATAAAGGGAAATGACAATAGCATATAAATAAATAGTTAGTTAGTTAGGTAAATAAATATATTGATTATTTTTTTGGAATAATTATGATTCTTGTATTATTTTTAGAAAAAAAAAAAAAAAATATATATATATATATATATATAATTACTTTATGTATTACGCCAAGAGCAGCAGTTGCACTGAACTTTGACCAATTTGTAGCACGCGATAACCAATCCAAGTTTTGGCGAAGAAATTCATCACTTGTGGTACCAGCATGCATAAAAGCATTTGCGAATGTTACTGCAGAATGATAAACAGAATTTCGTGATTCCAATGCATTCTATAGAAATATTTATTTGGTGCACTTTATAGTCAGATAATTTGATGGCAGTGTTATATCAATAATTATAATTCCTGAAAAAATTAAATGATTCAGACAAACCTTTGTATTTTTTAATATTATTAAATCAGTATGATTATTCCTGTATAAAAATTCCAAGTTTAGTTTGATTGATTCCTCGCCAGAAAGGATACTTTGAATTTTTAAATATTTATCTTCAAATGGATTAACAGGCTACACATGATATAAATAAATTTAAATAGTTGTATTAAAAAAATTTATCTTTTGAATCATCAAAAGCATTTTTTAAAAAAATTGTATACAAACTTGCAACTCTATTTCATCTGTTTCCATCGCTTCAGTGTCTTTCCTTTCAGAAATAGTATCAACATTCGTACTACTATTGGTTGCCTCTATTGCTTCTGTTGCTTCTATTGCCTCTGTTGCCTCTGTTGCCTCTGTTGCCTCTGTTGCTTCCGTTGCTTCCGTTGCTTCCGTTGCCTCTGTTGCTTCCGTTGCTTTCATTTTAGTATCAGTAAGTGGTTTGGTGGAAACTGGGAATTGAGCAATAATTTTCTCAAGAAATTCTTGTGTTGCATTTTCTTCAAGATCAAATGCTATTTGGTATGCCATTAATAAATTATGCTGATACATATGTAAATAATAATTAAATAAATGGTAATTAAACAATTAAATAAATGATAACTAAACAATTCTTAATTAATAAAAAAAATGAACATACATCATCACATCTTGAAATAAGATCTTTTAATAACTTTGCTGCAGATAAAGGATCATTAAGATGGACAAAGCATTGACTAATTGATATGTAATCAGGTTCATTTAAATTCTGATAAAGTTTTACCATTAATTGTAAGACCTAAAATAATTTATAATTATATATATATATATATATATAGCATCAATATAAATAATAACATACACAAAATAACATGTAAATCCATAATACATATAATTAATTAATTGCTTACTTTATTTCTAAAGTCCAAATTAAGCACCAATGTCATACAAGAATCTAAAACATATGAGAGAAGCTCTGATGCTTGTTGACCTTTTAATATTGCATGTTCAATAACATCCAAACGATGAGACTCCAAAGCTATACCGATTGCCTATTTTATCATTATTAATATTGTGAAATGCGTATATATAAATAAATAATAATAAATAATAAATCAATAATTTACTTGTTTGAATTCGTCATCACCAAAACATCTTTGAAACATCCTTTCAACAACGACTTCTAAACGAGGATCAATTACAATTTCTTCCGTAGGATTTTCATATTGTCGAGTACGTAGACTGATGTATTTATCTATACATTTTGCTGGTTGATTTTAATCAATCGATCAATCAATCGAACAAAAGGAATAACGTTATTCACGGGATAAACAAATATGATCAAAAGATGCTTCAAGAGAGAGAAAAAACGCTATAATAACTTACAAATAATTGTTTCGACATATTCAGATTTAGATGACGTATCAAACAATTCACCAGCTCCCAATGCAAACGTTAAAGAGTCGTCGAATTCACCTAGATGATAGTAGACCTAAATAATAACAACAGCATCAACAATATTATTATTATTGTTATTATTATTAATCAACTAATTAAAGGATGAATTAATTAAATTTGTATAATTACTTTTGAGGCCACCAAAGCAGATAATTTTCTTTGAGGAAAGCATTCATCTTCATAAAGGATTTCGCTAATCAAGACAAGACATTTGGTTCCCAAGAGAGAAGTGAGACCTTTATTCTTCCAAATGAAAATTGCATTACCGCAATTTTTTTAACAGTTATAAGCGGATCAAACTGATGCAATTATTTATTCTGGGGGGATAACAATGATTCTAACTCTAGCATGATTGATTTTGCCATGACTATCTTTTGGGACAATTTACACATGTATTACATCTATCCACTATTATAATGGTAATTGTAAAAGACTTACATTTTAGAAATTGCCTCTGAAATTTCAGCCCAAAATTGATCAACAACAGAATTAAGTCTTTGAAGTGCATAAATTTTAAGTTGTTCTTCTGATTCATCAAGCAAAGAAATGATTCCACCTTAATTTTTTTTTACAAAAAGATTTTTTTGAATTATTAAAAAAATTTTTTTTTTGATATTTTTATCAAATTTCTGCTTACCTGCAGAAGTCAAACCAACCATGATTGTTGTATCGACAATGGATGGATTCAAATACTAATATTTAATTATTTTTCAATATAGAATAAAGATTTTTTTTTTACGTGTATTTTTTTTTTTTTTTTCTAATAACTTATATTTATTACGTATGCAATTTTTATATATATATAGTGTGATATAGTGATGTAGTGTAAGTTACACATACATTTCGATAACAATAAATATGAATTTTCGTAAATTACAAACAAATCTAGTATTCATATTACCCGTTTACCCAATTATTTTCGCGGATCATCAAGCGGGTTGATCCCTTTTTTAGGGTGTATACATCGGAAAAACATCTTTAATGTAACGTCCCTTAGAGTATGACAATTCTTGGCTCCATCAAGCAGATCGAGCAAGGAAGGTTGAGTAATTTATGCGAGTCGATAGGCCACAATAGTTTCAAGATTTAGAAAATTCATAGGATGAGCTTGAAAAAAGGAAGGGTGAAATTATTCCTAATGATTGTGTCAAACTGATATAGAGAGATACGGTTTAGTTAAAAAAACAGAGTAGACGTTGTGACTATTTTTGTTATTGTATTGCGTTTTTTTTATTAAGCAAATTAAAGTTTTTCGAAAAATTACACTTGGAGCTATTTTAAGATACAATGTTTTAACACATCTTGGGAACTCAGGAAATATTGTTCCGTTTGTTCTCAAATATATAATAAAGATGAATATTCATAATTATTAGTGAAAAAAATCGTAACGAATTTCATCCACAATTTGCACTACAGATAGAAGTGGACAAAGATTCATTTACTGAATCAGTAATTTGCTCAATAGGCTTATCCCGATTTTTTTTTGGTAATTCTTTTTACTTGCCTGACATCACGATCATTTAAGGATGAAGGACCTCCACTTCTTGGAGCAATAGTAGTTTGATCTTCTCCTTTAAATGCTTGTATTGCACGAGTTACTTGTGACTGAGAACGATTAAGTGCACTAGCAATATTACGAGTGCTTTCACCCGTTTCCCAACGTCTAATTATTCCTCCTCGTTCAAAGTCTGTTAGTTGAGACATGATGTTTTAATTAAAATAACAAATTGAAGGTTCAATCTAAAAAAAAAAAATAATAATACAGCCGCAATTGCCATTTAAATTTTGTTCGTGTAATGATAATCATCTTGCATAAAAAAATATTTACTATTACGATTTTTTGCGTATTAATTCTATAACGGAACAACATTTTCTGAGTTCTCAAGATGTGTTAAAACATTGTATCTTAAAATAGCTCTAAATGCAACTTTTTCGAAATATTTTTAATTTGACTTTTAAAACATTATAAAATTATCAATAACAATCAGTCCAATGTGATATTTTAACATATTATATAGAATCATTTCAACGAACATTTTTTCACAACGAGTATTTGTATTACCCGTTTACCAGATTATTTTCGGGGATCATCAAGCGAGTTGATCCTTTGTTTTTAGGGGTGTGTGTATGTGTTGTTCTGTTGTTTCAATTAACTCACATGTAAACTGTTTGAATAATACACATTAGATGCCATTAAACTGATAATTTGTCTGCAAGCAAAAACGAACATGAAATTGTTTGTTATGGTTCGAGTTAAGTGCGCTTGTGACAAGTGTAATAATAATACTGGATGTTAAAATCTACATAGCAGAGTAAAGTTAATTATTTGATTGGATAGCGTCCGAATGACGAAGCCTTTTCAACTTTTCTTCTGTGTGCTTTCACTGCAAGAAATTGATTTCGCTCTGCATGTTTTGGGTTTTCATTAAATCCAATTTTAATATTTGTTATCATTTACATAAACATGTTTACCTAACATATTATTTAATTATTAGAAGAAAACGGATCGTTGAATTTATTGCATAATAATAAGCATATTATTATTAATATACAAACCTTTACGATGATGGATGAAAATGGATATAACTACAATAACAGTATATACAACATACAGATAATATAAAGAATATGAACCTAGTGAAGAATTAAAAATGTTTACAATATATATACAAGGGATCCACAAACAGTCAGAGCAATTTTATGTTCAAAGTTGGTGGATAAAAAAATAATAATAAAATGATGTTTATCTTTTGGATCAGCTTTATATTTCTCATGGACAAATACAAAGAATTTGTAATTGCTTGAATCAGTTTGCAAGCTTATGTTCTGAAGATTATACTGCATGTAAATTTTCATGCTCCTAATAGAAAGGATCTGGTTATTAGAAAAAAAATTCATTAGGGAATTTTGCTGACACATATAAATATTACATCTTTCCTTGGCTTGTTTCAACGAGTTGAGGTAATCCGTTCCCATAGATTTTGAATAAAAGCTTTCGGTTACTTTTTGGAAATAATTTTATCAACTAAAATTTACCATCACATGTTTATTAATTCAATGAAGTAAAATTAATATTTTATGATGTTCATTGTCTCCTAATTTCATCTAAAAGTCATCAATATCAATAAATCTATATAAAGTTTTAACGGAAGTCTTCGTATTAGCATGTGAGAATGAATATTTTCTCATATAATTTTATCATAAAAAAACCCTAATTCGTCACTTGTCGGATCGGAGTATAATTCATTCAGGTCGATCATTAAAAAAAATGATATTTAAACTCCACAAAAAATATTCTCAAAAAAGAAGAAACTCCAAAATATTTTTTCGCACTAATTAAATATTCTTCCTCGGTAGTTGGTTTAAACACGAAGTAAACTTGATTCCTTCTTGACGAGTTTCTTCAATTCATTCTTTAAATATAAATATTATATGTGCATATAACATTAACATAGATTATTGTTGTATTTTTTTTTTTTTGATTCCTCTTTACACATCATTATTTCCATCATATACACTCTCTCGCTTTTACATTATTTTTACATCAAAAATGACTAAATTATCATCAAAAGCATCAAAAGATAAATTTAAAAATGGTTCCGGTTCTTTATTTTCTGCATACTTGGCAAATATGAATATGCCATTAGGCACAATGGCTAAAGGATCCAAAGCTGGTTAGTATTGAAAAATTTTAATTAATAATAATTTATTATTTTTATATATATTTATTCATTATTATGTTTTATTTTTTAAGATCGAGAAAAAATATCCAAGGTCAATTTCGAAACTATATTTAGTAAAGATATACCGATTCCGGATAGCATGGTAAAATCATTCACCTTCATATTAAATATGGTTTTTTTTGCATGATAAGCACATGTCTAAAAAAAATTTTTTTTATTATAAAAATAGACAGCAGAACTTTTAGTAAGATACATAGCCACAGAACATCAATGGCATGATGATCAAACAAGATCAGATATTTCAATTTTAATCAATAATCGACTTTCCACTGTCAAAGATCTTCGGGTACTGTCAAAAGAAAGTTGGAAGGTAAAAAAATTTGTTTAATTCTAAACGAATGTATTTATTCGTTTATCTAATTATGCGTATACATTTTTAACAGCAATTAGAATTACTTCCATTTACCAAAGATTTACTTCGTGAAGCAATCAATCGCGGAAAACTATCTACTGGTATGTTATGTTATGTCCATGTTTTCTTTAATTAAATAATTAATATATATATATATATATATATATATACATTAATTTTATAACAATGATAAAAATAATAGAGGAAGAATATTTAAAAAAGAAAGATCATTTAGAAAAGCGAAAAGGAAGACGATTATCAAGAGAAACCGTTACTACATCCATTTCAAGCACCATAGAAATACTTGACAACACTAATAGGAATAGCATCAAAATTAATAGAACCGATACCAAGAATTTCAAAAAAGAAGTAATGGATCCAATACCACCTTCTTCTAATGATGAACTATCCAACAATTTAGAAGTAACCAAGTATCCAATTCATTCTTCACCACAATCGCAATTACAACGGTCACCAATTGTACCTCCAAAAGACTTCCATCACGTTAACTACGAAAACATCAACAACGACGTTAAAAATGGTTCGCTGATTGACACAAATAAAAAAATTGCTACAAAAACCACTACAAAAACCACCACTAAAACAATTACAACTATATCAGATCCGGTATCCAAATTAGAGGATGTTAAACGATTCATGCCTGAACCTAATAAAATGCTAGTCGGTGAAGATAGATTAAAAATCAGGGCAGACGATGGAAAATTTTATGAAATTGACAGGTATTGTCCGCATGCTGGATCTGACTTATTTTCAAGGGTAAGTAAATACAAACGTTGGGGTGGGTGGAGGCGAGTGTAAAAGAGGAAGTAGAGGAAATAAATTTAAATATGATATAAATAATAATTACAATTATATTCTTATTTAGGGCGCAATTGTAGGATCAAAACTTATTTGCTCGAAACATCGTTGGATCTTCTCTTTGGAAGACGGTGGTAACTGTCTATCTGGTGGTAAAGGATCCATTAATGCATGTTCAGTCAACAATTGGTAATCGTTCACATTAACGAATAATCAATTAATGATATTTAATGACCAAAACTTTTTAATCAAAAAAAAATATAAAGTATTTTTAATAAGAGGAAACAAACTAGAACAAATCATTTTTTGTTTGTGTTAGTTTGTTAACTCGTTCACTCATTATTTTTTTCCCTGACCTATTATTGTTTAATTTTTTATTTATTTATTTACTTGATTTATTATAAATTGTTAATTATTTGCTATATTTGTAAAAAATCAATAAATCTATAATATTTTAATTTTTCTATTGTGGAATCCTCCTCTTACTCCTCTCATTCCCCTCGTTCCTCTCATTATTCTTGCTCCCCTCGCCGATCCTGCCATTACTTTCACCCTTCCTATTCTTCCTTTGGTTTCGCCTCCAAATAGTTTTCTTTGATTCCATCCATAAACATATTCTTTTCCGCCTGTTGGCCAGCCTTTACAATTACTGCTAGCATTAATGTTTTTGTTGTTCTCTCTTTTATTTAAAAGACCTTTTTTTTCTGCGTCTCTTTTCTTTTTGCTCTTTCTTCCTTTTTTATTCTTCCTGCTACCATCATTCTTGACCAAACAAGATACATGCATAACTTTATGTGGTTTAAAATTTCTTTCCCATGGGATTTTGGATTCTTTGATTACTTGTTCTGATGTTATAATTGATTCTTGTATTCTCCTTGAATATTCTTCTTCTGACTCTTTACTACTGTAAAAACAAAATTAAAATCCATTGGAAAATTAGAAAACTTACGCCGACCAACTTGTCTATATGCTATGCACCATACACTTCTTACATTAAATACTTTTTAGCTTTATATTTCTCAATTGACGTTTTGACTTTTTCATCATATTCCTTAATTTCTTGCGATTCAAGAGAAATCTTTGAAAGTTTGTCATGGGAAAATAATCTAAATACTGTATTTATGTATGTATTATTATATGTTAATGAGGTAAACATTGATCTGATAACAATAATTGTTTTTAAAGGAAATAGAAAAAATTAATTAATTAGCAAATTACATTGTTCATTATTATCTTGATGAATATCCATATCATCTTGATCTTGATCTATTTGTTAATAATAATAACAATGAATATAATCATATAATCAATTGATAATATAACTAAAATTCATCACATATTCAAATGATTTTGCATTATTATTACCATTGCTTTCAATAATTTGAACATTTTCTTTCAATTTTTCAAATAAAATCTTTACTTTATCCTCTTTATCCTCCTCCTCCTCCCCATAATCATTATAAAATAATGATTTACGCGATACCTGTTTAGTGTTTGGTGGTATACTTGAACTGTTTATATTTTTAATATGCAAATTAATTAGTCAAATTAATAATAATAATAATAATAATAATTATCAAATTGAAATTTAAAAACCTATTATTATTCATTAGTAAAAAAAAATTACAGGAAAATTACGTCATCTCAAAATTGGAGGGTGGTTTAAAAAACTATTACTATTACTGCCAACTATTTACAATTTTAACCTAGGAATTAAAGTCGCTTTTAAGGCTCGCTCATTCTAATAACTTGAAAATGCGTTCTTCATATTTAAACAAATAATCATATTTGAAAAAATATTTACTCAAGTTTTGTCATTTTAAAAAAAAACCCCCGTAATATTCTTTTATATATATATATATAATGAATCGAATTGTTAATATCTAACTCAAAATTTCTTGAACCAAGGCTTTATAGAGTAAACTCCATTTAAGCTTAATTCATCGAATGTTTCAATAAGTTGAGGAATCCGAGTTATTTGCAAAATGATTTAATTGTGAAAAAAATTGAATGGCTTCAACAAAACTCTATTTATCGTCGTCAAAATACCAACCATCTTACCTCAAGATCACTATGAAAATTTAATAATCTCAAAAATATTGTAAAAACAGTGCGCAGCGAAGATAGACACTTGGGGTCAAAGTTTGCCACATGGGGAAGATGAAAATCAAGTCGAGTTAGCTTTTTCCAAATAATAAAAGACGTAAATTGAAAAATGATCATTGATTGAACCGAAAAATTTCTTCTTAAAAGATATCATGCCATTAATAATATTTGTTAAAAAAGTTATTGTCAAAGTAATTAATCCATTCCCTGTAAAAAAAACCGATCCGTGATTTAATATTCCATATTTTCCAGACAGACCTTGCCACTATTGGAAACTTCCACAAGTATTTATTCAAATAACGGATTTTTTTTTAGGGACTCCAAGCGCAGGAAAATGGACTTTAAGATAAAACTTTGGATGTTTAGCTAGATTGATGAAAAAAAAGACGTGCACTGCCCGGAAGAAAGTATCCGAACCGTTTATTATTAATCGTGCATAAAAAAAAATTTATAAAAATATTATCATGTAGCTTAATTCTAACAAGGTCAATTTGATAATGACAAAAAACGAAGAGATGCCCAAATTACAGTGAGCAAATATTTAGGGCCATTTTAATCGCCCAATCGAGCATAACTTGAAAAACGATTAAAAAAAGAAGCAAACTTCTTAAAAATCCCAACGGATTCAGAGATTGACTATCGTCCAAGATCCCTCAAGAAATTAATAGAAAGCATGTTTTTTTGTTATTATTTTGCATTTTTTTACGGTTAAAGAAATTTTATGCGATGCAATCTCTATTTGAAGTAACATTAATGAAATACAAGAAAAAATTTTATAATAACGAATACCAAGTAAAATCTCTCTCTATAACAGAAAAATTACATGTAGGAACGGAAGGTTTGTTATAGAGAGTGTGAACTCTAGAGAAAATAAATAACAATTTCATTCAAACAACAAATTTCATTTTTGAATTTCTCTTGTCACTCACTACCTGTTCTTGCATTACTGTATGATAAGTTTGAAATAATGCGTAAATTGCGAGCATTGCTGTTTCTATTACTTCGTTTTGAGTTTCGTGAATTTTGAAATTGATTGTTTTATTAGTTTTTTGATTTATATTACAAAACTGGTTGTAATTTTTATAATGATGAAAAGACCCCAATTAATAAGCTACGTGATGAAGATAAGCATTTTTGCTAAATTGGGGGATGTCAAGAAAAAAGTTATGTGCAATTTATTTTTTAAATTAATAAAGATTTATTTACAATTGTAAATATCAATAATAGTCATGGTTTATGATTTTGATATTATTAATAAAAAATTTTTATTTGAATTCCTATAAATGTTTTTGTTCTGATTCTTGAAGCTGAATGTCAAGAGCGTCAAAAATAATCGAACAAAATATTTTTGAACAAGTGTTAAACGTGAAAGAATTTTTTTGAAGTGTAAACATGTGCCAAGAAAAAATAAAAATGGCCGAAACTATTTTTTGGAGATCAAAAGTCATATAATACTTACCCTCTGGTTATTATAAAGAAAAAAAAAAGCATTCTTTTGTCAATGGGTTCAAAATTCAAATTTTGCTTGAAACCTGAACAATTTCAATAATAGTATTGAATAGTATTAAGAAAAAATCAGAATTATTTCGCCCCCCCCCCCCCCACACAACTATAGTTGGCTCGCTCTAAAGACCTCCTAAATTTTGCATAAATTTTAAAAGTATAGAAGTTGTTTTCTGTTCTACCTTTTAAAAAAATAGTGTTATTTGGTAGAATAGAGCTTTAATTTTAATGTAATAAATAATCAAAAAAATTAGTACATGTATTTTAGAGGAATTTGGCCACCTAAATTTAGACTAACTCACGGCTATCATATCTAAATTTGGCAGTAAGAAATAATTTTAAAAAAACCTAAATCACGTGAAGTCCTATTTTTTTGAAATTTGACCACATGGCACAGCCATAGTAATAGAGGGTCTTTAGACCGAGCCAACCATACCAGAAAAACAATATTAGTGAGACAGGGACCTAGACCTGTAAATACTGTATTTAACGAGCATTTAAATAAGAAATTTGAGAGATAATGAACCGTTATTAATATCAATATCATAAATTCTTGTTCTAAATAATTATTTCTATCAATTTCATTGACTTCACAATAATCATGAAAGTAACTATTTTTCTGAATTATGTTCACTTTCAAATTCATCTTCAACAAAGATATCTTTTATTAAATCTTTTGGATCATTATTATTATCATCAGAAAATTTGTAAATTGATTAGTTTTGATCATCGTGTGACATTTTAATGAATATTAAGTTTAAAGAAAAAATTTTGTTAAAAAATTTTTTTAATATCTCCTTTTCGTCACATTTTTCTCTTTTCGTCACATTTCGTCAATTTACCACATTTTACCATTCGCAAATGTGACGAAAATAACAATGATTTGACGAAATAATTTCCCGCCTACAAAAACATTTCGTCAGGTATCATTAACTCCCTGACCATCTTTCAAACCAGTTTCGATTTCATTAAAACTAGTTTCGAATAATTTCTAAACTAATTTTGCGCTTCAAAAGGCAATTCTATTGCGTCATTATGACCAAACATTCAAGAATTATTTTTACATATGTGCCAATTATTACGGTGTTATGTATATCAATACTAATACTGTAATCTACAGATTTACAGTTTCGATCCAACTATAATTATCAATTCCATAAAATATATATATATATATATAATAATAGTAATACAAATTCAAGCATCTGAAATAAACTGTGCTAGGGAGGATTCGTTAGAAAGCTATAACGATAGATGCTCTAAATGTAAAGCTATAGTTATTCAAAAACAGCATTATTTTTCACTTAAAAGCCAAAAATTTTCTCCAATATTGCCTTTATAAACTGATGAATGGTTGAAAAGATGTAAAATATTATAAGCTTTTCGTGTGGGGCATAGCTTTATGTGGATGATAAATTTATTTACACGCGGGAAATCATTAGTCGTAATTATACTGACCAAAAAGAGATAATTATTTTCCAACGATAATTGGCCTCCTTAGAAGGAGTAAAATTAAGGTTTGTGGCTAATTTTACGATCCTTTTGTTGAACGGCACAATCTGACGTACACATATATGAATTAATACGTGATATTAATATCATGTAGAACCGCAGATTTTTTCCTAACAGCTAATGCTAAATGTAATTATAAAGGATCGTCAAATAAAATTTTGGGAAAAAACACTTGGAAATCGTTGAATATAAATATTATATAGTTGGCTCAGTCTAAAGACCTCCTAAATTTTGTGCAAATTTTAAAAGTATAGAAGTCATTTTCTGTCCCATCTTTTAAAAAAATAACTATTATTTGATAGAATAGGTATTTAATTTTAATATAATAGAGAGATTTTCTCAAAAAAATTATTTGTTGTAGTTCTACTCTTTTTTAAAGCATGTACTTTACTATATACTATGTTCATGAGGCTAGAATCATTACTAAATTTAGACTAATACTCGACCATCATATCTAAATTTGGCACAATTTTGGAAATTTGAGCGCGTGGTGCAACAATATGAGGTCTTTAGACTGAGCTAACCATATTAAAAATGAAAATGCGTATCATACTGAAGGCAAACGAATGCCATACTGAAAAAAAAAAATTTTTTTTGAATAAAGGAGTATCATTAACTATTTAAGTATATATATATATATACGCACTTTCCAACAATCACGCGAGATTCATTGTTGATTTATAAAACCCAGGGATGGCTGCGCAAAGGGGCTAGAGTTCTAATCTGATAATAATTATCTTGACTAAACTTGACTTAACATAATGACTAAATAGTTTAGTCAGTTTAGTCAAATGTTCATTTAGGTTACGCGGCCAGCCTGCTATAGACATACATGGGAATGTTGAATTCTTTTTTTCTAATCTCAACAAAATAAATATATTTAGAGAGATCACCTGATTTATGGAATTAAAATCTTCAACAGCAACTTTTAAGCCATTATAATAAATCTTCTATCTATTATAACCCTCTAAATTTAGCTTTCTTCTTCGAAAAAGATCGCAATGATTGTTTTATTAAAACAAATTTCAAAGAAAGTGTCATTTGAAATATTTTAGCCTTGTATAAATACTACTACTACATGATCGTGTTATAAATTATAATATATGTTTATATATATGCTATAAATGTATTATTGGTGGTGGTAATATTATATAATATAAAAATGAGATATTATTATTATAAAGATGATATGAATTTTATTCTCATAATATACTAATCGTCATCAATTGCCCATCTAGTTGGAGAAGTCGCCTGAACATTATTGTTGCTATGGTTTGATATTGGAGGAATCTGGACTGAATCAAACGTTTGAGTCGTTGATATTCTTGGTGATTGATTTGTGTCGTGTTGCGGTAATTCAGCATTCACTATAAATAATAAATTACTTGGTTAGTTAATTATTCACTGAAATGAAATTTATGATTGATTTACTTACTATGTTTTTTCAGGCCTAGACCAAAGTTATTTAGTACAAATATTCCCCATATTAATGTGAGCTAACAAATAAATAAACGAATAAATAAAATTTCGGTGATGATTTTGTATGATCATATTATTATAATTTTAATATTTTTACTTACAAGAGACATTACTATACCAGACACGACTGAATCAACAATAATAATGGTGTATAATAATTTAATTATTGCAAAATATAAATCAGTAAAGTGTTAAGTGGATGAATGATTTGATCGATACAGATAAGATGAATGGAATGAATGATCATTGTCACACTTACTATAACCTATGAAGAAAAACCAACTATCTTCACGAGCGGATTTTATTGAGAATTTCAATATCATAATGAAATCTGCTATTGTTATTATCCATGTGGCTATAAATATTTGCATCCCTATTTTTGATTCTCGATGAAGCTAAAATTAAATAATTTAATAATGATAATTATCATTATTATTATATAGTATTATTATATAATATGATGATAAATTATTGCTAAAACAACCAATTACTTACTGAACGGAACGCCAATATTTGTAAGAAGACTATAAGAATTGTCACGAAAACATGTAACCAATACAGAACAGGAGGATCAAGATATTTTGGATCATTAACGGCTTTGTATGAGAATGCAGTGCATGCTTGAATTGCCAACACAATCATGAAAAAGACATCAAGTTTCAACAACATTACGAAAATAAGCATCGTTTTATAAATGCCTATTAATGATAAAAGAATGTGTGAAAATTCCTTCTAACAATAGTAATTCAAATATAATTCTTAAAAAGTTGACGATAGATGGGATAATTACTTTGCATTCTCAAATCTGCGCCAATTTTTTTATAAATATTCCAACCAAATTGTTGGTATAATTTCCAAGTGAAATAAGCCATCGTAGTTGCACTCAGTAATGATATTGTTATTAATGGAATTTCGTACTGTTCAAATTGGTTTTGAAATATATAGGCTGGTTTACATTCTTCTGCATTTGCTTTCCATTTATTTATTTCGATAATTTGTACCTAGAAAAAAAAAAAAGGTAAAAATTTAGAGGAATTTGATAAACATAGACATTATTATATTATTATTACTTACGATGGCAAAAAATCCAACAAAATAATTTATTCCTGCTAAAGTTAATAATTGAATAACGTTTTGATAATATATCTAATAAATAAATACAATTAACATAATTCGTATCATCGATTCAAAATAGATACTAGTATGACTAAACTTAATAATTACCGCATTATAACTGAACCAAAGTTGAAAAAAATTAAATACTATGAATATTGTATTTTCGCCTACAATATTAGTCATTCTATTAACAATGATATTCGTACATGTTTCATTAACAGGTTCCGAATTAGCTGTGAACCTATCATTTGCATATTTGTTTCGAGTTAATATCCTTATTTCCAATGCTATTGCAAGGAATGCCTGTATTATTGATGCAATTAGAAAAAATAATGTCCATTTGGATTCTGTTACCCTCTCATACTAAAGAAATAAGGGTAAGGGTAAAGAATCAGGATAAGAACAAGGATAAGGGATAAGGGATAAGTATAAGTATACGAAATAATGATAAAAAAATGGTAATAATTGTTAGAGCAAATATTTCATTAATTTAATTAATTGACATTAATGAAAACATTTTACCCTCTCAGTCTTACATTCTTTATAGCAAACCTTTTCATTTTCCCTATCAAAAATTGTAAATTATTATTTACATTTTTAGAATTAACTTTACTTATGAAATCTAACATTACTAAAGTGTAACTTTTAATTAATTAATAATAATAATAATCAAATTATTATTATTATTTAATTATTATTGACGTTAAAAAATTTGGAAAAATAAAAATTTAAAATGAAATATAATTATATTGTATGTTTCGTATTCATTTATTTATATATATATTAATATATATATATACCTGATTAAAAATTTTAAGATAAAAATTACATTGTAGTTGAAAAAATAGAAAACTTACCAATCAATTTATTATTTATACAAAATTATTACTATTATGTAAATAATATATGAGGGAAGTTCATTATATAAAAGATCATCATATGTCATATAGCTTATTTAAACTTTTTATTTATCAATTATATTGTGAAAAAAATGCTATTCATTTAAAATATATATATGTATTTTATACATTTCCCCATTAATTTAATTATCTAACTTAAATTTATTCTGAATAGTATCGTGTGACCATGGCAATATTAATTATAATATTGATATTTAATGTAAATACGAATTTAAAAAAAATTTACAATCTTATCCAAAACTGAAATATGAAGTCATTCGGAGATATGTCACTGGCAGGCTAGAAAAAAGTATTTAATTTTAATAAAAAAGTTATTCCTCTTCAGGATATGGTCGCAAACTGGTGCTCATCCTTAAAAGCTAAGTCAACGGGATGACTCTTTAGATAGACTAGCTCCTTTCCAAGATGTACATCAAAGGACTCGAATGTTTCTTGATGCGTCTGCACGTTTTACTAATACTAGTACTAATACTGCTTGCTGTATTCTTCGGTGCGAACGACAATCTTGTACCAAGGGATACTCGTGGGATTAAATTGACGAAAATTTGCCATGCAGATTTTTTTAGAAGGTATCAACTAAAGCCCTAACTAATCATTGATAGAGAGAGCCTGTGATATATTACGGAAAATACAAGAGTTGCTCGCTTACACACAATACGCTTTATTGTGGGCTGTCTTGAGTTCAGTAGTGGTAATCTTGTTTGTGTAATAAAAAAAAGTGATAAGATTTCTTTTTTTAAAGATCACACCCGCGTAAGGTCTTTTGTAATACCTTTCAAATTTATTTTAAATTTTTAATTTAATTTATTTATTTTTAATTAATATTTTTGAAGAAAAAATTCAAATAGAAAAATTAAAAATCTCAACCAATAAATCTTTAGAATGAGCAAAATGAGATTAAACTCTAAACATAAAACTAGCAGGTCATTTATTAATTTTATGACCCCAAAAATTCAAGTTGATGAGGTTGTTATTGACACTCAACCAATAGAAGAAGAACCAACCCGGCCAACCGTTGTTATTACTACTGATGTTGGCTCAACGCCTCCAGAACTACCCGAGAAATCTCATAAAGATGTATTAATATCGGAAGCAAGAATTTCTGCTAAAAAATGTTTTGAAGAAGACGAGTCTTTTATAAGAAAAGAATTAATAGCTGAATTCTTGGGCGGAAAGTAAGTTCAGATTGTTTATAACGCAAATGATTTTGATTTGTAAATTTTCAATTATTATTATTTCATACACGTTGATTTATATAATTATTTGACTTCTTTTTTATATAGCAAAAAATTAAATTCCTTGGCTTTAAAATTTTATATGGATTATTTTGATTTCTCCAATCTACGATTAGATGTAGCATTTCGGTTTGTCATCACTCACATTTATTAGTTGTGTAGATAGATGGATTAAATTGAAAGAAAACAATTAATTTATTTATTTATTTATTTATTTATTTTTTAAAGACATTTATGTGGTAAGTTATATATAAAAGGTGAAACTCAACAAGTAGATCGCATATTGGAACGATTTTCAATACGTTATTGGGAATGTAATCCAAAATCTGCTTATGGAAGTTCTGGTAATTTGTTTTTTATTTTTCTCAAAAAAAATTTTTAAAAATAATAATAACTAACATATACTAATAAATGATACGTATAGATATAGTACATGCCATTTCATATTCTATTTTATTACTAAATACTGATCTTCACATTGCCCAAGTGACCAGCAAAATGTCAAGATCTCAATTTATTAGAAACACAATGTCAACTGTTCATGCACAAGCAAATCTATCGGCACAAAATAACAATAGTGTTAGAGGGTCCTATGAGGATGATTGTAGTACTATCACCTCAGTTGAAACTTCAAACAATTCACCCACTTCCTCATCGGCAACAACATCACCGTTACCATCACCATTACAATCACCGTCATCATCACCGTCACCATCACGTCCACGCCGTAGCGAAAGTATTAGGAGTTGGCGGAGCAATACAAATTTAAGTTTAACAAATTTATCATTTGTGCCTAGTGGTTTCTCGAGACAATGGGATGCGGAAATAGAGAGTTTATTGAAGGAAATATATGCTGCCGTTAAAGCAAATCAAATCTTACAGCCATTTATTACTTCGAATGATAATGACAATCATGATAATAATAATAGTTTTGGTGGTTATCATAACCATTCAGATTCATTATTATCTTTATCATCATATAAACAAGGCAATAATGCGCTTGCATTGCAACGTAGCATTAGCAAAATAAGTCGTCCTAATACAAGATTGGCTGCACTTAAAAAAGGTATAGCTTCAAATCTTAGTTCTAAAGAGAATAATAGTCATCATAGTAATAAAGATTCCTCCAAGAATACAAAACTTTCTCCAAGTCCAAGTTTTGCTAGTGGAAGCAGTGGTGATATGAACAATAGTGTAAGTAATATTGTTCTTTAGTTGTTTTGAGAACTATGGAAAAAAAATTTTGCTAACAACAGTTTTGATTCTTATTTCTTTTATTAGAGAAATAGTTTATATCGTTCAAATAGTTCACAAACTTTACCAACAACCTTATCCTCATTTTCATTAAGACATGCATCATCATCAGAAACAGTTTTCACCTCCACAATAGCAGAATCAGCAGACGAAGGTAATTATAATAGCACCAGCTTCAGTTATAACAAAAACATTAATGACAATGACAATGACGCCGATGATGATGATGATCAGGTATCAGTTTCTGACTCGGTTTCAACAAATGAATCATTAGAATTGTATTTATCAGGTGCACCATATGCAAAAGAAGGTTTATTGTTTAGGAAACATTTTTGGGAATCATCAAACAAAAGATCAAAAGATAAGAATTGGAAAGAATGTTTTGTTGTTGTGGAGAAGGGAGAGTTGAGACTTTATAAATTTGATTCACATGGTTCTAATAGTTCTGCTGGGGTTGGTGCCATGGGTGGTGGAAATTGGATGGTATTATTTAAAATTAAATTTTTTTTTTATTTTTAAAAAAATTAGTTATTAAAAATGTTAAATATTAATATTAATGTTTTTATTTGAATGATAATAATTATAGGAAAATGCAACAGCATTGGGCGAAATAACTCTATGTCATACAATAACAAATTCACTTCCACCACCAGGTTACAATAGGTCACGTCCACATGTTTTTGCATTGTCAATACCAAACGGTGGACTATACTTTTTCCAGGCTGGTACAGCTGAACTTGTTGAGGAATGGGTGTCTACATGTAATTATTGGGCAGCTCGTACAAGCAAGGAACCGTTAACAGGCGGTGTTAGTAATATAGAGTATGGATGGGGTAGATGTTTGGCATTGGACGATGATGACAATAATATCAATGACGATAATAAAAGTATTATGAGTGACATGCGAAGTACTATCAGCTTTAATTCTATGATGCATCCTAATTCTGGCTCTAGTCATAATAAAATTTTTATTCATGAGTGGAAACCACCGTTACCACCTGGCGTTTCGAGCGTTTTAGATGAGGTAAATTAGAAAAAGGAAAAAGGAAAATGACAAGTTATTTTGAGAAAATGCAATACTAATAATCATATGGGTTTTTTTCAAAATAAAGGATTCACAACTTGCAGCTCTTAAAAAATATAGGGCCGATCTTGAAAATGATTTAGAAGAACATAAAAATTATTGGGAACCAATGTCCAAATTGGTATTTATTTTATAAAATTAGTAGCATTTATTTATTTTTGAGAAAGTAAAATTGAAAACATAATTAAAAAAAATTTCTAATATGTTACGTTATAGTTCACACCACGATCAACAAATAATTCAAAAGCTTTTACAAATTGGGAAAAGAAATCACAATGGCTGTTGTATGAAATAATCAAATACAGCACTTATATTGAAAGTCTTGAGAATTCTATATCATTAAAACTACGAAGACGAAAAGAAAAAGAATCGCCATCACCATTATTACCCGGTAAAATTTCAAGTGAAGAAGAAATTAAAAAGGAGCAATCAAGGGCAGAGTTTAGAGCTAGGGCACGTAAATCTGTTCAAATGTTACATAGAGCTACGTGGACACCTGGTGATGGGTTTTCATTAAGCTTACCTAAAGAATTGCTGTTTGGTGATGCATTAGATGATGGTATTGAAGGCAATGGTAATAAGGGTGACAAAGGTAATAGTAATGGCAGTCTATCGGACAATGGACCAGATCGCAGCCAAAAAGGTACATCGTATCCAACGCTTGAAATGAGGGGAGTTGTCGAGGAGGAAACAAAATTAGGCAATATAAGAGATTCGGATTATGGGCTTGGGTATAAATGGGTCGACAGATTTGGATAGCTGTAATATTTTTTATAGTGTGATTTTTTTTTAATTGTATAGTGTAATTTTTTTATTTATGATAGAAATTATATTTTTATGTAGATTTAATTATTAATTTATTAGTTATTAATTAATTTTAATTTGTTTATTTAATATTTATTTATTTATCTAATAACACTAATTTATTCAATTAAGTGTCACATATTCGCAATGTAATTCTTAATTGTCACATTTTCTAATTTGTTTAGTGATAGTAAAATACTGTTGCAGATAATCGCGGGGCCAAATTTGTCCGCGATAGCGTTAAAAGGGTTTTTGTTTGTATGGAGAATTTTAATGTTTTATCGCATATCGAAACAAGGTCAGAAACCGGTAATTGTTTGGTATGTTGCATTTGCTTGGCATGCGTACTTCCATATTAGAATAGTGTGAACTTTAACGATAAAGGTTGTTATGACTAAGCGCGAAATTCCTTTTGATTGGCCAATTTAATTTTCACGTACGCAAAAATTTGTACCCGAAAATGTTGTGCAATCGGTGATATAACAATGTCGTCGTCTAAAAGAAGTAGATTTTACTATCTATCATGGCTGGGAGAATTAATTTTGTGTAAAATATGATTCAAAAGCTTGCAACAGTACAAATCATAATTTATAGTAAACAATCATCCAAAAATCCGCTTATATACACAAAATAAATTATGGTTACATTTATTTTATTAATTAATGATAACTTTAAAGATAGGTTGAACTTCTTGAAAGATGTGACGAATTAATTAGAATTAATTAGAGTTCATTAAATCACCACCAATCATGGGAAAATTTTTTTAATGAATTAATGATCCAGGATTATTTTTAAAATTTAAAATGAGAGATATTGATATCGGAATTATGGGAGAATAGGACAAAATGAAGAATTGTAAAAAAGTATTATTATAAAGATTAATTGAAAAATATGTTGGAAGATTATTTTTCCATCGGTAAGGTTACTTTGACTGACTGATTTTAATGATACAATCAAACCTTATAGAAAACTTTTAATAAAAAAAAGCATGCAAAGAAATCCTTGGTTATTTATTATATTGGAATAACTGGCAACCAAGGTTATTACAGTTCACACTCTCTATAACGGCCCGCCTGATTTGGCAAAAAAAGGCCGTTATAGATAGAGACCGTTATATGGTTGGCTCGGTCTAAAGACCTCCTATTGCTGCGCCACGCGCTCAAAATTTCAAAAATGCAATAAAATTTTTTCCTTACTGCCAAATTTAGATATGATGGTCGAGTATTAGGCTAAATTTAGTCATGATGATCAAAAACTAGTCTAAATTTAGCAATGATCATAGCGCTCAAATTTCTCATGAGCATAGTAAGGTACATGTTTTAAAAAAGAATAGAACTCTACAATAAATAATTTTTTGGAGAAAATATCTTATTACATTAAAAGTAGAAACCTATTTTACCAACTAATGAGGCTATTTTTTTAAAATGTAAGACAGAAAATGACTTCTATACTTTTAAAATTTCCCAAACTTTAGGAGATCTTTAGACCAAGAGAGTTTGCAGATCATAGTCATGTGATAAATTATAATGTGATACAATATAAAGATTTTTATTTGTGATAAAATATATTTAAAAAATAAATGAAATAAATGAAAATAAAAAAAGCTATCTAGTGTGGATTGTTGTTGTGAGTTAAAATCAATTTTTTTAACTTTTCTTTTAAGACTTTTCAATAATTTAAAATCGTCCTCATTTAATTCTGATTGTTTGTTGGTCAATGTAAATTTCTAATGTTTTTATTGCTGACAAGGCTTCTTTATTTGTAACAGGTGGAAAGTTCTTCGATTATTTCTTCCTGGCTTTTATTTTCCTTTGATGGATTAATTATTGTAACTATGTCATTTAGATTATTTCATCACTTACATGAGAGTCATCAATTTCAATGTATTCAGGCACAGATATAGGATTAGGGAGTGCAAGTTCATCAATCAAATTTTGCAAATCATTGAGCTTTCTAACATTCAATAGATTTAAAATTGATGACACATTTTCAATTTCGTTGGAATTAATATCATAATCAGGTAATATACCAGTTTTTTTCTAGCAGCTAACTATAGTTTGACTGGTAACTTTTTTCCAAGCTTTTGCTGTAAATTTAATTGCATGTTTTAATTGAAATTTTTTCATATTCTTGACCATTTCTCTCTTCTTCATAATCACTAATTTTTTTTTGCAAGAAAAGTTTTTTGTAGTTCACCTTGAAGCTGTTAATTATCCCGGCATCACATTGTTGTAAAAATGTTGTTATGTTTGGTGGTAAGAAGTAAACATTTACATTAGTTAAATTTGTTGATTCAGAAATAGAATGAGTGGGAGCATTGTGACACACTCAATTTCTTAATTGTAATGATTACCTCAGATCATGATCGTCGGCCATTAGACAGCATATAAAACATATGAGAGAATTTCCAGAGGCTGGCTGTTATACACTAGGAAATTTAAGAAAACCGTTATAGAGTAAGGTTTTATATAGTAAAAATTTTGGTTTCTGATTTACAGTGCGTTATAGAATGGAGGCCGTTATAGAGGGGGCCGTTATAGAGAGAGAGACTGTACTGCAAGAGTAAAAAGCGGAATTTATTAGTTTTAAAATAATATCCAGCCGGATTGATGAAAAAGTATAATGTAAAGAATTTATCTCATCAGTCAATTTAGATAGACCCTTTGTGGATCACAAGATGGACTTTCTGGAATAGAACAAACTGTAGCAATTACAAAAATCAAAGAAATGGGAGGATTGATTGGTGACTATAAAAGTTTTACTTTTAAGATTGATAAACAATGAGATTTGTAAACAAGGCTGTACTAAGTTTTTGAATCAGAGGATTACGTGCAAGTTTGTTTTAAGATTATACAATGTAATTTTATTTTCTATTACTACAATGACAACGCTACTATTATACTGCCCAAGGGTAGGTTCTCGAAACTGGGCTTTCCTTGATTTCCTATTTATGCGATGCAACCTTTTCTGGATCATAAATAAATCTAAATCTGAAATTACTGCGGCAAATTACCGTATCACGTGTCAAATTGTGTCAACTGAAATTTCTATTAATGTTATAAAAATGTCATTAAATTACTATTTTCATTCGTTATATGTAGTATAATGATTAATTAGTAAGGTAATTAATTACTTTTATAAAACGATGATTTTTATAATATAATGGTAATTGTCATTGAATCGCGACGTTTCACCAGATAACAAATTTGATGTCTAAACATAGTAAACATGATTAGTATTTTACAAGTATAAAAAATCAATTCTTTTGATATTTTTTTAAAAAATTTCTTCAAAATGGCAAATTTTTCATCATTTGAAAATATAAACCTATTATTCAGCAGTCTTATCAATTTCAACAAGGATGCCTTGCCATTAAAGCATGTCTGTAAACTTGTGAATGATCTTACAAAATCGTTAAATGAATCTGAATTTTATGATATTGAAATTAGAGTTGGAAAGGACCAAGATGTCAAAACTTTTAAAGCTCATTCAATAATTTTAAAAGCAAGGTCATCGTATTTTAAAGTTGCTTTATCAAATAATTGGATCAAAAGATCTGATGATAACGGTGCTATTTTATTTGGAAAAGAAAATATTTCTCCAAAAGTATTTGAGGTTCTTTTAATGTAAGAATTATTTATTGATTGATTGGTTTATTAATTTATTAATTATGAATGATTAAAATGATTACTTTATTCTTTAAAAGGTATATTTACAATGGGATCATGAATATAGATAATTTGAATCCAGATGAGATTCTTGAACTTCTTGAAGCATGTGATGAGTTAGATTTTAATGAATTAATTGAAGATTTAGAAAATCACTTAATTGTCGAAAAAAAAGAATGGGTTCAACAGAATTTAATTTATATTCATAAATTTTCATTAAATCACCAATCATTCAACTTGCTTCATGATTATTTTGATGAATTGATCAATTATAACCCAAAATTGTTTTTAAAATCTGATGATTTTGAAGATATTGAAAAACCTATACTCATGTCTATATTAGAGAGAAATAACTTGGGACTAAATGAAATTGATATTTGGAATCATGTTATTCAGTGGGGAATAGGCCAAAATGAATTGAACCAAAATGATTTTGTCATGTTAAAAAACACATTAGAAGATGTTATCCCATTGATAAGATTCAATCAAATTTCTCCGGCTGATTTTCATGATATAATCAGACCTTATAGAAAAGTTTTTAAAAAAAAAGTATATAAAGAAATCCTTGAATATTATCTTAATGATAATTGGCAGCCAAAATTATTACTTCAAAATGGTCCAAGGACAAAAGGAGCAAGAAGAAATTTGTTAGATTTAAAAAAGAAATGTTTAATTTCCAGCTGGATTGATGAAAAAATTGATTCATATAATGTAAATAATTTGCCTTATAGATTTAAATTAATACTTTGTGGATCTCAAGATGACTTTTCTAGGTCTGTCTTTGAGGATAAATGTTATAACATAGAACAAACTGTGATAATAATGAAAATTAAAGAAACTGGCGAATTAATTGGTGGATATAATCCTGTTGGCTGGAATCTAAAGGAAAAGGCTCCAGATGATCATTATTCTATTATAACCAACAAAAGTTTTATTTTCAAGATTGATAGATCTCAAATAAATAATTCAATCTTAAGCAGAGTCAAAAATCCTGGATATGCAATAGGCCATACTAGACGAAATATTGATTTTACTAAAGATAAAGTAAAATTTCATGAAGTTACTATAAATTTTTATAATTTAGCACTATGTAACAGTGTTAATAATGAACCATATTGCTATTATCATTTTGATGACAGTTCTAACGATTCTTATAAAATTAATTTGAATCTTAGAGATAAAAATAAAGATATTCATTTATTATTAGAAGAACTAGAAGTGTATAGACTAATAAGAAAAAATTAAATAAAATATATATTTTTTTAATTTTATATGCCTACGATTTGT